TCTAATAACAGTAACCGAGTTACGCGTGCACGCATATTGTTCCACCGATTTCTTCCCGTTGCGTTATGCTCATAACTGCAGACGAAGCGTCGAACCTCTTCTCGAAAGAATCGTTCGATCGAGGCGGTATATTTATTTGAAAAATAATAAATACGATAATTCGGTATATCTCGATATCAAAGTTATTCGAAATAAAAACGTAGCAAGATATATACGTAGCGAAATAATATGGCAACGTTAAAGGGAAGAGGAAAAGCTGTAATCGAGACGGTTCGACATATTTTGCACGTGTATATGTATATCCGGCAACAAAGAGTCGTCTGCAAGTCTTTGATACGAAAAATATCGGGATAAATGCGTTTCTCTTTGACAACAGACGTATCCGTGCGCATTGTCTCGGCGCATTAACGGGGGATGAAAGGGACGAGGGCTACAGACGGATTTTCTTTCCTTTGTTTTTCCAACGACAACGACTTTCCATCTGTTGAAAAAACGGGTTTCCTTTTTCAAAATTCGTTCGAACATTATATCCTTGTTCGAGTACCCCCAATGGAGATACGCACGAAATTTTCCCTCTTTAAACAAGTTAAGCAAGTTTCGTTACAAAGTAATCAAGTCAATGAGACGTGTACGAAACTTCCTCCCTAGCTTTCGAATTCCCTGGTGGCCACTGAAATGTGTACGCGCGTATTCTACGATAGAAATAACCATTTCCAGGCCATCGACCGTGTAAACCACGCGAGTCACCGGCCAATACAATTAAGCCCTTTGTGTCGTCGCGCTGCCACCCTCTTCCTGGCTTCTGACACGCATCCACACGCGCATATTTATAAATATATAAGGCCATCCGAGTAACAGGCATCTGTGATCCAATTGCACGAGCACGAGTTCGTTTACTCCCTCCCTCCTTCTTTTTCTTCTCTTTTTTTTTTTTTTGCATCCTCGCGAGGGTCGTTTCACGCGTGGCCACATCTGTGTGCGAATGCTCTCGACGCGCGTTAGAATTTTTTTAGGAGGGGGTGTTTCCATTCGTTTGGAACAATTTGTTTCCATGTCACTTTTTATGTATACAATATTTATATATATAGAGAGAGAGATTGTTGAGAGGAACCGGAACTTTGATTTCATCGCCATTATAGTTATCGAAGGAAATAGATCGTAATCACGAGTTTCCTGCCGGAATTTACTTTGGACGCCTTGCATACAGATAACGCGGTTGTTGGCTAGAGGGAACAGAAAGAAATTCTCCCCTGGGGGTAACAATGGATAAATCTATCGGTTAAATTCGTAAATGCGAGTCGAAAATAATTTCTTCTGATCCAACTATCTACCAAGCAATAGTTTATCGATCAGTGTGTTGATTTACGAACGCACAAAGGCTCGTATACGGGGAACAATAAGTTTTGCCACGATATAAATCTGTAAAGATGGCGATGGGGACAGCCAGGCTCGTGGCATTTGTTGTTAATCCTTCTCTTCGATTTAACGAGCGAGGGAAACAAAATTCGTAGATACGAATCGCGATAAAGCAAAATGTCCAGTAGATATCGGATCGAGAGAGATAAAACAAACGAGGAAGGTATTTTTCGAGCGAGCGTCATCGTTCCCTTATCTCCTTGGGCTATGACAAATCGCTGTCCACTTTCCCCCAAAGAGCACGTGGGTACGAGCTCCGATCTATCCCGGAGATTGTCATACCTCGTGAGAATACCACGGGCTTTTAAGTAAGGCTTCCAGTGTGGAACAGTATTCCGGCATCTGGACCTTATCACCGCCTGCAAATCCAAAAAGGAAGCTGCTTTCAGGCGAACGGCGAACAAAGGATCCGAAACAGATTCACAGACTCTTCCTTCGTATAAAGATCTCGCGTGTAAAGAAGCAGCTTTTGAAATAGCTCGTGAAAGCCCGAGTGTACTATAGATTCCCATCACATTTCGTGTTACTTGTTTAAATTATAATTTTACAAGCATGAAATGCTTCAACGAGGAGGGGAGAAAAAAGTATTCTTTGCAAATCGATTAATTTTGACAAATATAACTTAAATATTTAGATCTATAAGCATGTTTTAAATTTTCATTGTATTGTATATATACTAAATTCTGATATCTCGAAAAAAATTCAAAATCAATTTTAAAAAAGTTATTCTATTTTGAACAATGCATACTTTTTCTTTCGAAGCGATGAGGAAGCAAGATTTTAACAAGATTTGCAAAAACTCGTGCGATATGCGTATCTGTTCCCGATCTCGGTGATAACGGATAATAATGTATGGCATGGAACTGGGTCGTTAAACAAAGTGATACCGGGGATTCGTTGCCTATTCTTCGCTCCAAATTATAATACTCTCGTCTATCTAGAATATTCTATCTTGAACTCTTTCCAAGAAACAAGCACGTGAGAAAGGATATCGGCCATTTCCTAACCATATCTCTTGCATATCTTCTATCGAACAATTTTCCCCTTTTGCCGTCGATAAATTTCATCCTTTTCCAAATATTTCAAAACTCATTCATATTTTCAAAAAAATATACATTTTTTTTTTTTTTCAAAAATTGTCAATCAATCCACCAATTGATCCAATTGAAATACAGAGACACTATGCCATGTATGCGTGCTATGTTGAATGGTGGGCAGTGTTGGTCGATCGGCATCCTCCCTTTCTTTCCTCGAGTTGACTTCCTGCTATGTTGCAGAGCATGATCGGCCTCGGCCGTCCTTGCCCCTTCTGCCAGGCAACACTCCGTTACCGCTCTACTAACTGACACGAAAACATCAACTCGTTGCACGGATTAGAAAGGCTCTCTCGCATGCCACCGCCTTCTCTTCTCTCCTCCCCTTTCCACCGCTTGCGGTCGACGCGTAGGAGGGAAAGTTACCGGGATCCCCTCCGCCTCGCGACCTCCTTGCCCTGCGCGTGTTTTGAAGGGAAGCTGCGTTCTCGAACGATCGACATCTGTTCGTAAAAAGAGGCCGGAATAGGTCGTAACGTGCCTATACGAGTCCTTCGACAGAACTTTTCTTCCAACCGTGTTTGAGGAATTATGAGAAATTATACTTATTCCATTTATGGAGATTTTTGGCAGTTTTCGATAAGAATAATCACTCAATGGGAAAAGATCTTTCATTTTCTAAGAATTCTGCGCATTAAAAAATAAAAACATAGTCGAGTCAAATATCGTTCGTTTAATTATCGCAATTGATACTGAATAGTTTGTAATAAGTTTCAACTATATAAAATATTTTTTGACCGATATCGTGATATAATAAAATCCAATACAACGAGATTCCTGATAAACGACGAATTAGGACGAATCTCTCCTGATTCCTTTCTATTTTATCATACAGTAGACAAAGTAGATCGCATAAATGAAATATCTTTCTCCTCTCTGATCACTTGAGGCTAATCATCATTGGACACGTTAGCGATAATATTAATGTATTGCCCGTGAAATCGATAACCGGGAAGGAAATAGCTTCATTTGCTCGGCTCGATATGATACAATGTGTGCACCGTTTATCGATTATAAGTGTTATATCCTAGAAAACTGGTTGTGTCTATACGTAGATTACTCGTCAAGCGATGAATCAGCCGCGCATCATCGCGGAGACGTATATACACGGAACAGACGTTTGTCTTTAAGATCGACTTGTTGATTCAAGAGGTGTTGGCCGTATCTGCGGCAAAATGGTTTCGACCGTATATTTGCTATCCTTGGCGTTATCTTTTTGAAATACCATCGTATGCGCGCCACCACGCTGTATACATCCGGTATTTGCTGTGCCTGCGTCGAGTTTTCGAGAGATAAAGTTCCTAACCTCTGCGCGAGTTCGACCTCGCGTAACTTCTGCATCGCGACCTTGTCGATATTTCTTTCTTTAAAACTTCTTCTCTTTTCCCCATGGAAGATGACATCGAAATTCGATTATCCCTTCTTCTTGCCGATTTTCAAATCACGAGAGTGTACTCATCGTGTTCGAAATGGGTGGTCAAAGGATTTACAATTAAATGCCTCTTATCACCGAAAGTCTATTAAGAATCGTCAATTTGCTCCTGTCTGTCTAACCTACTTGAACACGGTGTTATCAGATATTCTCGATCGAGATGAATCGAGATGAGAAGAGCGTACATTGCAAATCAATTTAATTGAAACGGAAATATTATCTCGACGGTATGCATTAATTGCGTCAGGTAGGCTCGTCGAAAGCGGCAGATAACTCGATTAAGAAACTCGTCCGCGTGTTTCGCAATATCCTGTTAAGAAACAGCTTCGAGTGATTCTTCGTCCGACCGGTCAAATTTCTTAATGGAATATTACGTATATAACTTCGATGAAAGTTAACCAAATTGTGAATCCGTCCCTTCGCGTTTTGTCTTGTCACATTGGAGGGATCAAGATGTCGCGTTTCGTGGATTTCGTGAATCGAATTAACTCGATTTCCAAATTCTACGACGTTTGGACGGGAAATCTTGACACGTGCCACGAAACGACGGGATAAACCACTTCATAGAGTCGAGACGACGGTTATCCTTATCGAGATTAACTGATTTATCTCGGCATTGGAAGTTGCACCGACTTATTAGGAGATCCACAATGCAGACGTACAGCCTCTCTTTCTCCGGTTCGTTACTGCTCTTTCGTCGCGAAATCGATAAATTATGCATTCAATTATTCATGCTCGGTCGCCATAATCGTGTACGGTGGTTGACAAGATCCTGGCACGCTTTACAAGTACTCCTGTCTCTCCCCATTTCTTTCGCTAGTCCAAGGTGAGTTCCGTCTACTCGAGTTGCTCGCGAGACATTCTTATTTACTTATCTGTTGTCAATATAATACGAGCTCGTTAAACGAGTTCATTATTATTAATTTATAATAAATATCGTATCGGATATCGATAAAAATCAATCGTGCCTCGATCGTTTCGGACAAGAACGCTCTCGACTAGTCTTCGTTCGAAGAGCACGGCATTGAAATCTCCGTCGTCGAAGTCGAAAACGCTCAACGGTTCTCGAAAACTCGTTATCGAATTTCCGCGTGATCCGAATTATCAATTTATAGATGGATTCGCAATGTTTAAAAGTTGGATTCGAAGTAAAGAAAGAATTAAGAGAAAGATGCATGGATGAAATACGCGTGATGAGGAGAAGGGGGGAGGCGAGCGAGAGAAGAGGAAGTAGTCGGTTGGTGCATGCTTGACGCGTTCTATCTCTCTCCGTTCAAAGTTGGTACAAGAGTACGTTTGTTCGGCCGGTTTCGGTTTTATTCGGTTCGATTCGGTACTGTCACCGTGGCTCCGTTAGTGGGGATATCCGTAGTGGGGATACGCTTTCCCCACCACGTTGGAGATAGCGAAGGCGCTCGAGAACGAAGAGTGGGGAATCGGCGCAAAGGTTCGGCGGAAGGTTCAATTGTTGGTCAACCATCGCGGAGAGTGGTTGCGCGTGATAGACGACTCGCACGATAGACGCGCGTGCTCCGTTTCGCGATCGGTGCGTGGCACACGGGAACTCGTGCATACGACATCGACCACTGTGCGAGACGTGCAGCGAAAATCTAAACACGGAAATGCGTGCTACTAATCGCGGCAGTGACGTGGTGATTGGTTCGCCTTCGTTCGCGTTATCAGCGTGAGTAAACGCAGGCCGTGTAAACGCAAGTGACCGAAGAAGCGGAAAACCCACCTTCCCTTTTTCAATTGCTCCCTTTCTAACGTTCGCTCGTGCATACGGATTTATTATTTACGCGAGTATTTGTACCGGCTGTGATCGCTACAAGTGAAAATATATAATATTATTCTTCTTGTGTGACTTGTACGAGACTCGTGTGGCTGGCCAACCATCATCGCTTCGGTCGTCACGCTCGGTCGTACGACCGAAACCATCGAAATTTTGGATTATCGTGTGTCTTTGCCTTTCGTTCAGTTGACGCACCGCCGACCCGCCAGCGGCCATGACGGCGGACAGCATGTTTGAGACTACCAGCATCCCAGGGCATCTCGCTCCCACGCCCCAGAGACTGGAGAGGCTTCTCTCGAAACAGACCCTCGAGGAACTGTACGAGGTCGAGGAACAACCTTTCGCACGGTAAGTCCAGTCGCGCTTCGCCTTACTTTACCTTGCCACTCTTCGCCTCTTCTCTCTTCGCCTCGCCTCGTCTACTCGGTATTCTATCTTCTCTCCTCAGTCGCGGTAACCTCGTTACACAAAGAGACTGTGCTTCCGACTCGAATCACCATTTTTCCCGTTCTTCTTTGAAATACGTAGATTTGTAGATACGTATTTATATCCTCGCGAGGTCGTTGTATAAATCGCTCGCATTATGTCGTCTTAATTATGATTGTTTATAATCTTTCTCTCTCTTTGTTTTGTTTAGTTTTCGCGTTCGAAATACTTTCCTACGTAAATATGCTTTCTCGTTTTGGTACTGATGACTCACTAGGCGAACACATATAACGTAAAAAGCTTCCAAGTAAGGGTCAAGCGTGAAAACAGAAAAGATTTAGCGAAAGAATTTTCGGATAGGGTCTAGACCACCCTCGACTCGGCCCTGAACACAATTGAAGAAAGAAAGTGCCCCTACCGCGCGAGATCGAGGTCGAGTCTTGGCGTGCCTTTATTTTAAAATGCGATACTCGTTCACAGAAATCACCTCCTCTTCTTTTTTCACGCTTTTCCAAAAATTTCATTATTCCGTGACAAAAGAGCTTGGCAAAAAAGTAGAAATTATTACTTCGAAATTGTACAAGGACGAGAACCATAGAATGTTCCGAATGGCTTCTCGATCGGCAAGAGATCGTCGAAGAGAAATCCTCGAATCGGGTCGCACAGTCTTCCGTACATGACACCGTTAATTTGTCTCTAATATTAATCTTTTCGTCGAGAAAACATTATTATAATAATTCTTCCTTACCGAAAAAGAACAAAATTGCTATTCATTTATTTATTTACTGTTCCGGTATCCATTGCGAACTACGAAGTAGCGATAGAATTTGAAAAAGCAAACAAACGGATTAGATTAGCTGTTATCGCAATATTTCGACAATCACCAAGGTCGACAGATTTTGCAAAATCGCGTAACAATGAGACACGTGCGATTCATATTGACGCTTGAAGTTACCATTTTCGGCGCAATTAATCACGAAGAATACGTATATTCCAAATTCCATTGCGAAAGGAAAATTTTTTTCTTTATAACGTGTATGCAAATGCGCGTAATCGTGACGCAACCTCTTACACCGAATATATTTTTTCTTCTCAAGAAAATGGAAGGTACGTATACCTAGTAGTAACAAAATTTGAAACAGATCTCCCATTATGGCCACGACCAATCGCGCATTCATCCTCGATTTGCTCGAGTGCGATTTCAATTCGTGGTCCTTTTTGTTGCTGGAAGTAGGTAGCGACTGTTCGCAAACGATATTCTCGTTGCACTCCGCGATAATGTAGGCCACCAGCTACGATGTTTGTTGTTATTAACATGCATCAACATTGTATTTACGTGTAATCTTCGATTGCGCACATCGCGATAGAATTGTAAAGATTAAATCGTGCGATTTTTAAAAGATAGGGAGAAAGAGATACGTGATGAATTACAAAGACGCAATTAATATTTATCATTGGACGAATCGAAGTCTAACGACGTAACTCTCCACAGTTCTTTCGCCATGATCCATTGGTATTCTTCTAACGACCGGATACGTTCGATATATTCCTGAAAGATGTTAACCGTTGCAAAAGATTTATACAGCCATCAATCAGAATCGTGTGAAATAGCGAATACCTACCGCATTCGAAATTTATACGCATTTTCGTATAAGGAAACACTATTTTTTTTTTTTATTATTTATCATTTAAATAAGTTAAATTTTCGTGCACCGATTATATTAAAGAACTTTTTGATCTTATGTTTGAGAAAATATTTAATTAGGAAATTTTATCGGAGAAAAATTAAGTTCAAGAATTTTTGCGTAGATATTTCGAACAAAAATTTTTTTTTTTTTTTTTGTATTGATACATTGAATATCATAAAACCATGTAAAAAATATTATTACAATTGTCTACAAGAAATAAAAAAAAAGAAGCAATATGCAAAGAATTAGAAACATTTACTTCTTCTTGATGAAGTAAATGTTTAAATACCTGAAATTTATCCCCTTTTAGCCTCGGTTGTTCGTTTCTACCTGCTAATATTACCAGAAGTATCAATTTCCAAACATTAGTTTTTATTGCCCAGGCTATTAAAACATTAATTCTATTGCTATCCAGTTTACTTTACCTCCATTAAAGAACAAAAGACTTTCGTCCAGGACATTGTAAATGGATGAATTCGTGGCGTTGTCTTATTTCAGAACATTGCAAATCGACGCGCATTTTGCTTCCAACATTTTAAAACGACTATGTATTAATTCGAAAATACGCGAGAAACATGTTTACCAATCTATCCGTTTTTCTGTTCTCGTGTCTAACCACGCGCAAGAATTGATATTAATTGCTCGTACGTGTGATTCGAGGAAACGATCCTTTAAATTGTTTGACCAGCTCGCGATGCATGCGAAACCGCGATATAAACTCGTACGTGTTATTAAGGAAAGGAATGCAAACAAACCGTGGCGATTCCTTGAAAAAGTTTTACGATTACGTAAGATCGCGAAGAAAATTGTACACACGGAACGGGTGACGCGATAATTATTCAGATCGTTTTTTTTCATTCTCGCCATTTTCTTTCCCGTCGATTCGACGCGTCGAAAACGAGCTCGTTCGTCGAAAGGAGAATGCGAACGGGACCTAGCTGTGTAGGTACATTATTCGAGAATCTCGGGTCACGAATCACCAGAGCGACGCCATAAACTTTCGCAAGAAAGGGGTCTCGGTATAAATATTATGATTATGACTGTGATCGGCCTATAGGGTGTTACTCGCGAATGTAAATAGGTTGAAACGATCGCGCGCCATATCGTCTCACCAATTAAAGAGATTTTGCATGCGTAATCGATATTTACCCCTTGCGTATTAGCGTTTTCTTCGATACAATATTTGTTTCTAAGATTTTTCATTAAATTCGTCGAGGCGTTTGCAAAATGCTTCTTTTCCTCGGACAAAAAGTAAAATATTTATCGCGATTAAAAATAATTGCAAAGTTTGTTCCTCGGTATTTATTATGATATTCAAGAATAATATTTGAGAGTGTAACACGATATAATATTCATATCCATTTTTTTAAAATATTGAAATATTTATTAGGCAATCTACCTTTCTGATATTCCAAACAACTTCGGTATAATAACTAATGCAACTAGCATTAGCATTTCCTTTCGCTAACGATATATCTAAATTTGCACTCTTAATAATTCGAAAAACTAAAATCCATAAATATATCTATCCATTTAAACGTGGACGTTAGACACTATACGTTATATCCTTTCATTTATACATTTCGTTGATCGTCGCGAGTAGTTGCACTTTGGAATAAGGATAAATTTCTCGGGCATGACTCATTGTCAAAGACCAAGCGAATTTCTTGCGTGTGCACGGGGAAAAACGGTAACCGATGAACCGCGACGGTGTCTCGTTTAAATGTCGTCGTATAAGAAAAACAGAATAGCTAATAGAAATATCATACGATCGTGGAGTTTCTGTATCGATACATCGTGGCAATTGTCAGCCAGCTAGGGAAGGAACAAGCGCGCAAAGGTTGTTAGGTAAGGAAACGGCATGGAGCGGCATGTCGATTCGAGTTTTAACAAGCGGATCGGACGGAGGAACAAATTCAATCGGCAGAAAGATATTTCGTAGCCTCGTGGGATAGCGGTGGAGCGGGCAGAGATGCTTTTTATGGTATTATGGGTCGCGTCTTAGAATACGCGGGGACAAGTGGGGGGATCGCGGTGCGAAGCGGAGGAGAGCGAGAGAGCGAGAGAGAGAGAGAGTTTAGCGTGGGTTGAAAATAGCTTGTGGCCGGACTGAGAATGCAGAGACCGTCCGCTATGCACTTGCCACTCGATATTTATACCCTTATAATAGGCAGGTACGTTACGGCCTATCTTTGTCCCCGTGCGGGTCGTACCAGTGCACCAACCATTTACCTGAAACAATGGATAAATGGATTATCGATTATTCGGTTCTATGATTGTATTGTTGGATGCAAAAAAAAAGGCCTCAGTGACAATCGTCAGTCTCTGTATCAAGACCTTAATCGATATTTCGATATCCTTGAAATATGCACGTTTGTGATGCATTTGTATGAAATTACGGGGATTAAATTGAGGTTAGGTTTGATCCAGACTCTAATACAAATCATCACGCTCGAAAGATCGATATTCAAATTCTCATTTATAGATATTGTAAACAAAAAATAAACTTAGATTTGGATATAATTTATTATAATATATTATATCCGTAATATATTATATGCTGGTAATCGATACCAAAGTATACAATTATAGGCAGAATTTATTGTAGAGGCAACAGTTTTTTGCGTATATTTCAAGAATTAAAATGGAATTATCAAAAAGAACGTAGAATCTAATTAAGTATTTCGCTCGAAAAGGGGCTGAAGATCTTAAATGGCCTGTTTTTGCACGCAACGATACAATTGCATTCGTACGTGCATATACAATTCTTCTGGAGCGTGAAATATGAAATGGCGGTTGGTTCGTCGAAGAGACGAATCCTCTTCTGTTTGGTTCGCTCTGGTTGGAATGGACGAGGTAACGTGACAGAAACGGGCATGCCATCTGGAAAGTAACGGTAACGGCACCTGCAATTAGTGCGACAGCCTGACTGCCTACTCGTTCGAGTCTTGCTCGCGAGCTGGTCGTTGATGACCTTCCGTCGAGGGGGAAAAACGAGATCTCGGAACGTATCGGTTGGCCGCTCGGTCTCCTAGCAAAAGGACACTCTGCGTATCCGGTTTGCCGTATTCCCCGTGGCCTTTGTCCGCAACGGTTAAACACGTTCGCATTCCAAATAGCTCGTCCAACTGCGAACAATCCGCGTATACGTTTCACTTTTTAAAATACGAATCTTGGAAATGAAAATTACTATGAATTTCGAGCTTTGATCTTCTCGACAGATTTCCATTCCGGGTGGATTTTGCGAGTTCTTTGACGATTTTTCTTCTGACCCTCGATAAAGTTTCTGGGTACAGCAGCTGTCTGCTGAGACGAGCAACAGCTGTGCTGCCTGGTGGTGCTTCCATTGGCTCGCGCCATTGAACGCCTCTGTGTCCTTTGCTCTCGAGGATACCTACTTCCCGTGATGAGATGGTGTTTCGTTTTACTTAGCATAACAATGCTCGTCTCTCCGTCCGAAAGAAATTCGAGTAATACCTTCGGTTTTCCCTCTTATTTTCTCTCCATTAAAAGGATTTCGGCCAACAAAAAGAATTTCCCTTTTCCACAAATTGAACAAACGATCGTTAATTAGCTCGTTCCATCTGTTCCATCTGACTCGTAATCAGTCACGTTCAGTAAAATTCTAAATGCTTTTTTAATGGCATTAACATTATTAACATCCCCTATGCGCGATGGGGACGATTATCGGCGATACAGATTCAGCGAATGATAAAACGGTCGTGGCATTCCGTGTCGAGGGTTCTCTCTCGAGCTTCCCGTCTCCTTAATTATATTTATCGGGTCGGTCGATCGGAACGGTCGGCGGAACGATCTCGGTTGGATCGTCACGGCCCCTCTCTCTTTCTCTCTCTAAGCGAGGAAAAAAGCTGCTTGATCTTCACGGGTGAGAAAATACGATGGTATGCCGCGCGCGCTAACATCAACGAACAAACGTTCCCTTCTTCTCAAGGTCGCTGTGATCATTGTCCGTCCGCTGGCGCGTTGCTCGCTCATCCGATCGATAATTCTCTTCCCGTGGATCGTGTTCTACAACTCGGTGGAAGCCACCCAGAGTCGCGGACGAGCCGTAGCTCTTGAGAAATAACGAGAAATTCCAGCCATCGTTATTCACCGGTACCGTATTTAGACAGCCTGTGTTACACTCGTGTGCCCGTTACAAAAGGGCCCGAATACCATCGTCCCAGCCGCGCGCGCTCGTCGTTCGAATAAAGATATCGTTACGCGCGTCTGGGAGGAAAAAATTCCAAGCCTCGATTTCTAACTCGCCGCGGCGAAACATCGAAATCGAGATCTCTCGTTCTAGATTTGTGAAAAATGTGTGAGGAGAATTTATATTTTTATTATATTTTCGAGCGGAAGGAATCGAGTAAATCTCGAACGAGCGATAAACGTCGCGCTTTTCCCTAGAATGATCTATAGGTCGGGAAGGACTGCGAGTTTTTTTTGCGAGAAAACTGGTAGGAAAGGTGAAGGTATAGCGCTGTCGAGATATTACGACATGGACTAGCAGGGAGTCGAGCACGAGAGGAGAAGGGCGATCGTTGGCGATCACGATGATCTATAGGTCACGATTTTCTCCTGCCGGACATTTTTCGCTGGAATACGTTGTTCTCTCGTGTCTGAAAAATATACTTGTAAAAGGATAAAGAGGAAACAGTTTTCGTAAGATCGACTAAAATGATTGTAGCTTTTTCAAACTCGCGGATCGTAAATCGCTTAATTAAAAAAGATTTTTCTTGAAAGAGGAACAATTTGATCAGTTCGATTCATTAAAAAGCTTCTCTCGTATTTTATTTTTCGCTAACATCTTTATTGAATATATTAAGGCGCACCGTGTATTGCAACTAGGTTTGAAATGCCGATGTATAATTTAAAATCAAGAGGCGAATTTGTACGGATGATATCGCAAAAGAGCGAAAAACAACAAAAAGAGAAATAGAAAAGAAAAAGTGAGTAGCTTGTTCGTTAATATCGCATATACGACGACCTCGTTACTACAACGCGGTCGCTCCCCTTCGGTTTCCGTTCGGTTAACCGTAAATTACAACCACGACCGGTGTGTAACGAGCATAATGGCGACGGTAGCCGGGTGAAGGTCGGCCAACTCGAGCGAACGACGCAAACAACGATACCGATCAACCGGCATTTCGTTTATTCTCGCTAAAAAAAAAATCATTTCGATTGCTTAAAAATTGCTTAAAATTCGAAAAATCGATACCAAACTTTCTTATCTGATTATTTGATCATCAATAGAGATCTTGTTTTTCTAGAATTTCGATTTTTTTTTTAATAATTTTTCTTTCTTTCTCTCGCTGCAACTGTCTTTTAAAATTATTTCGTGTAAATATCCAGAAATTATTCGAAAGTATCTCTAACTATCCTGTTCGAACGTGTCCTACTTCTCGAGCTACATACGTACATACATCCGATCATTGTGGTTCCGCGTATCCATTGTGGCGTGCATTGGAAAAGGAATAACCTTGCCCGCATTTTCTATCGTGTCGCAAGATAATCATTTCGGCTCGTTGAGACAATCATTAAACCTATACGGATACGATAACTATCTAGTTTTTTCGAATATAGAAATTAATCGTATCCCAAAGTGATCTGATTATTTATTTTTTGCAAAAAAATACGTCATCATTCGATATAAACTTGAATAACCAATTGGTTTTCGATAATTCGAGTCATTTAATCGATTTTTAATCGAGTTTATCTACGATAAAAAGGATGCAATTAGATGAATGATCAGACGAAAACGAGATAGTCTTTGTAATTATAGATTATTATACGTGATCTGATAATATAAATTTAAAACGAAAAATAATACGAATTAATTATACATTTTAATTATTCGAGATTTCGAGATTCGTGTATATACAAATATATCGATTCGATGAATTTTATGTTATTTTTTTCTTTATATGGGGAAACGTAGTTATCGTATTGAGATTGTTATCCTCGCAACTTATAACTTTCTTTATCGCCTTTAAAAAACTTCATTTTTCCTCTTTTTGAGGAAAAGACACAATGAAATCTCGAAATCTCGAATGGTCGACAAAAGAAAGGAGTGGAATAAATCGTTCTCTGATCGGCGCTCGACAAAGCCGATCACCCACGCCTCACAGGAATCCCAAGGGCGAATTCGTGTCTCTCGAACCACTTACACCAACCGCGGTCGATATAGTCCGGCGATATCGCTTTACCGGTATCCTTTCTCTCTCTCTCTCTCTCTCTCTCTCTCTCTCTCTCTGTCTGTCCCAGATTCGATGTTATACGATGCACACAGTACATGACTGTAAACATCAGGACCAGCTGTGCATGGCCCTTGTAACGCAATGCGGGTCAATCGATCGGGTATTGTATTCGCGAAGCTTCTCGATGAACACACTCACTCACTTCGATTGGAAGGCCGTTCGTCCATAACACTCGCGTTTACCTCTGGTACGCGTTAATTAACGGGAATTTTCGAAATCATCCACGACACTCGCTATACTCGCAACGACGACAGCAACGAATACGTAATTGTCTAAGTATGTAGGCCAGGTGAACTCTCGTAGAAGACTATGACTAGATCGATGACGAATGCACTTATGCGCGATAACGAAACTTCGGCCCCGGAATCTCCATTGGCTCGTTCAAGGCTCTTCGTTTCGGCGTTATGCCAATGACGTCAGCAGCGTGAAAGTTTCACGCGTAACTCGTATTGCAATTAAATAGCGTCGTTCAAACCTGCGCATGCGCCTTAGTAATCCGTGTCGGTAAGAAGGATCGCGCTAAGTCGAAGTGTCATGGCCGCTTTTTCCGCAGAGGAAACAAACTCGCGAAACTTCTACAAATTTTTCACGATTCGCGACTTGTGGCAAATATCACGTTCGAGTTGAGATTCCGTTCGAGACGAGAAGTCACCGTGACGGAGATACGGAGTGCGCGCAATGCTATATTTGGAAGTGGTTGCAAGGATTTTCGCAATTCTCCGGTACACGTACACGTGGCTGGTGCACCGCGACCGCGGTCGTGAAAGGTGCGCCGTGAAAAGTTTACGCGTTGTTCGAGGCACGGCCTTTTCAAGCCTAGCAACAGAAACACACCGGTCGTCAGCTGAAACACGAGAATTCGTTCCCCTCGACACGCACATTCTTCGTTCCAGGGACTGACAGCTGACGAGCCAGTCTGTGCACGTTTCTCGCACGCAATCACCGGCTTGTGCATGGTTTCCCTCCGCCCCGCCATTCCTACGACTTAAATAATCCCGAAGGTTGTTTCGTATCGCGGTCTCGCTTTTACTACTGCGCGTATTGTACGTTAATCCAAAAAGAGGGAAAAATAAGTATGGGGAATAAAACTTGCGTTTATATCCACGTCGAGATTCTTTTCTCTCGAAGGAATGTAAGGTGAAACGCGTAAAAACTGCAGTCACACCTGTGGTGTCTCTATAGCTATGACACGAGATATGACATTCCGTTGTAAGTACACCGCATTCCGAGAGAAAGGACGGCAAACTTGTAGGAAATAAACGTGTATATCGATACGTGGGCGTGGACTCGTCGTAAAAGAGTGGATTTTATCCATATTTTCTTCGTCTATTTTTTTCTCGCAAACTAGTGCGAATTGTACGCGAATAGTGTTGCTCATGTTCGTAACAGACATAAAATACAGTTCTGCAATAGTTAAATATATCGCGAGGCTATCTGAACGCGGGTGACTGCGCTAGACACATTTTTACCTGCCCACTTAGCGTCAAATATCGTGGACAGGTGTGGTCGATTATTTTATTCGATTTATATGCTCTCTTCGCATATCGACGCATAGAAAAAAATAGTGGCAATATCGAAATACGTATTTCGTTTCACGTCAGCGAATTTTTCGATCCGTCTCAAAGTGAAAATTTTATCTTGATATTTTGGAATATCATGGAGAGAAATCGATTTATTTCACCGTCTTCACTCGATTAACGACTGTGCATCGTTCGAACTTCTTACCATCGATTTGTTTTTATCTCGTATGTACTTTTGCATGTATTTCTGTATGTATATATTTTTATCATTATCGAACGATGAACTTTAAAGAAAAGAATGATCGAAGAAAAAAAAGCAAGAGAAAATATACAAAGTTAATCACAAAAGTAGATCGGAAGCGGACAGTCGACCCGTTAAGAGGAAAGGTCTGCATAGCCCAAACACGATGACACGAACCGTCTAACTGTCGCTTCCTCGTTCGTAAGCCTTTGGCGTGCTCGTTCGCGAGATTGGGACGTGTCCTCGTTTCTCCTCAACTTCTTCCTCGAAATCAAGCCATCTTGGCATTTCCTCTTCCGATAGCGCGACGAATACCTCCGTGATTATATTAACAAACAGACGTACAACCTCTTTTTCACGCGTAATTATATTATGTTAAGCCTTTTCGAGTGTTATTCTATCTCGACTTTCGTTCGATGTTGTTTTTTCAACGATCGATAATACACGATGAAAGGTGGGTGTCTGTGCAGACGCGTGTTCAACGTGTGTACGGAATATTTTTATGTGGGATGGTTGGTGATGACCCAAATGCCGTGAAATGATCGCGTGGGACGTTCGACGGTCTTTCTTTCGATTCCACACACTCGACTAATTATGACTCTTCGTAATTATCGACTTTTTCACCCCGTGAATGTCATTTTTCGACGCTAACTACGATGCTTTCCCCTCGAAACCTGCAATTTTTTTTTTTAACTTTTACGCACCTGTTGCACAGTTTTCACTTTTTCACCGTTCGATATCGCGTTTATGTTTATTCATGTTTTTTCCATTTGTGTAAATTCAGATATTTCTATTACGTTTGACGAATTAAAATTCATGATTTTTGAATTCCGATAAAAAAGAACATTTGAATTTTAACCTTTTTAAAGTTTATTTCATTTCGTTATTATTAATTTCCATGTATCTACGATTCGAAAATGTGATAAAACACAGAACGGATAAGTCGATTCTGGATCACGTTTAGTTAGCACAGTTTTCTCTTCGAGACGGTGAACGTTGTCGAGGCCGTAGACGTGGCGCCGATTTAAACGTTCCTCCGTTCCGCTCGAGCTGAAAGCCGCGCACTGTTGCTCGCCAACGTCTCGAGCCTCGATCTCTGCGGTCCATTGCAAAATAACTACGATGTGTACGAGTTGCTAGTTCATTCTCTCGAGAGAAACGCGATTCGCAAAAAAGAGTTACAGATACAGGTAGCAATGGATTAAATTAAGTGTGTTATTAAATCCGATGCAAAAGACTCATTTATCGAATATTAATGAACTAATAAGATTCGAATTCGTATTAGTATTTCAATTTTCATAGATTAATTTTGAAATGATACTTGCTAATACTATTTAAAATGAATTTAATTATGAGAGAAAAATATATTTTATTGAATTCTCACAACAAATTTTGATAAAATTAAAAGCATAGTCAATAAACGGAATTCTTACAATTTTATTTTAATTTATTTTATTTATAACTGTTCAAAAATAATATTTGATTTACAATATTTTTAAAAAAAAACTAAAAAAAAAAATAATTTTAATTGAATCGTACAATTCAAAAATAACTATGAAAATTAATTTTAAAATTTCTATTTCTTGATAAATAGATATTTATCAAGTTTCGTATTCGTGTTTTTTTATATATAATTTTTTATATATAATTCAAGAAATAATTGTAATAAATAAACCACGATGATTTCGGAAAGAGTTTAGTTTTTCGCAAAGTCAGTGCTTATCTTCATTATCAAGCAAATTGATTCAATTCAAATTTTGTCTATTATTATTGTCTATCAATACTCGCGCGAAATTCAAAAATTCTACTTAAAAATATTTTCTCTTTATTCACAAAGAATTCGAATCTTGTTTATAAATCGACCTATTCGCGATGCGCTTGATCCAAATAACACACTTAATTTAATCCATTGCTACCTGTATCTGTAACTCTTTTTTGCGAACAAATCTTCGATTCCGTTTTTTTTTTTCGCTTCTCTGGAAATATCTTCCAACCTACTCGCGATACGCTTAGACCCAACACTAGAAGACGAATAAACTGCAGAGACACAGTATACAGACGAGCAACAACGAATCGCGACCCGACTAATATCCGCTTAATCGAATCGCCTCTTACCTTCCACGCGTCCTTGCGTAAGCGGCTCGACGACGGTCTTTGTCCTTGTTATTGTGTCATCGCGAGTAATGGGTACGATAGGCCGCTTCTCGGACAAGAGGCGTGAGCGGTTGTATATCTACCGGTGTGGAAATTCCGTT